TTATGTATTCAGTAAATTATATACAAAATCATAAAAAATGTTGCTCAGTTTTAAACCCAAGTCTTTTGTGTCTATAAATATATTTTTTCTCATTCACGTACGACTTATGTAAGTATTCCGTAGATAGTATAAAAGAGGAAAAAATCAGAGATATTCAAAGTGTTTTGCATAAAACGTGCTGTTAGAAAGTGAAAAAGAAACAAAATCATTTAGTTGGATTGGTCCACGTGTTCCCATGGTGTTCGACACGCGAAGAACTTAGAGACAACTCGTTTCATATTCTAATCTTTTTTGTTCCTGTCCTCCTTTCCTAACTTATTTTTCGTCGCAAAAGAATTTGATATTTTCTATGAAGAAAAAGTAAAGTACAATTTTCAGAAAATTATAGTATTACTTGTGCCATCTATGTTTGTCGTAAAAATTTATCATACGATCTTAGATGTGAGCGATATAAATATTGAAAGTAAAACGAAAATTACAATAGAGATAAACGAATTTTAAGAGAACAATTGGTGCTCTTTGACACGAACACTCCGTCAAAACGTTCAAACTTATTCTGAATAACTGAGATCTAAATAGAAGCAGTTAAAATTTACATGTTTTTAGCATCAGTTGAATTATTTATGTGCAAGCCACGAGGTCAATATATATTTTTTGTGAAATTTCTAAACCAATATTATAATACTAACTTTTCACATACTTCGGTGAAAATAAATTCAAGATAAAGAAACATTATTGAAAATCATGTCACGTACCATGACAATTATAGAAGGAACTCATTGACTTACATAGGTAATTACTTAATAATCGATTAGTATCTGCTTTGACCTCGTTTGATCATTGTAGTAGAATGAAATAAAGGACAAAAACTTGCACAATATCAGGCACAATATCACTTTAGGAATTTATTAATCATTATTTTTTTTATCGTTCTCTCTTATATTGTACTTGTATACGTTGATAGAACAGGATCTAGTATCCATCGAAAAGTAAAATTTCCAAGATCGTCCAACAATGAGTTCCCTTTGACCGGTATGCAATTGCTCTTCCTTCCATTCACGGTACCGTTCGCTTTCACGAAAATTCATTCCAGATGCTTATTTTCATTTGTACCGTTACGTTACGTTAAACGTGAACAGCGCAACTTACATATACAAATCTATAATTATTTCTATATAAGTTACCTTCAAAACGGTACATCCGTCGGTAAGAGTTTTATTTCTAACAACGCATGCTCTAACTTACGTGCAAATATTTATGAAATGCGTCCTTAAAATACGAACAGCGTGAAGTGAATTAAACATTCTAAAAATGATTAACATTTCAATTGTTACCCTTTTTCTTCATATTATCATCTAATTTCAAAATCAATGTTCATAGAATCTAGGAAAAAGGATAAATCGTGAGTAATATTTATAAAATGAAATATTTTGAGTAAAAAAATAAGTAAGCCGAATATAATGTATTCGTAAAGAGAATCAAATGAATTTGTTATCCCCTCCAAAGAACGGCGCGACTAGTTGAATAAGTGGCGGCAGCTCGGCGAGCAGCATTTGCTCGTGGAACGTTAGTTTGTAAGTTCGATTTCTTTTAGTAGATAGATTAGTTGGACCGATCTATAGTCGGAAAAAAAGGTCAAACGAGCTTCAAAACACGCGATAGGAAGTCATTCGGTGACCGTAATTTTCACCTGTCGAGTTTCACTTCTAACCTGAATTCATCGGTGGGTTTACTTCTAGCAGTGCTGTGTCTGTCCTCAAAGCATACATTTTCTTGGCTTAAAGTTACGATTTCAAGAAAGACATAGTCGTCAAGTGCTGAATTTTTGAAAGATATTATTATTATCTTTACAAAATTATCATCGGTGTCAAGTGCCAAAGAGGCATTTCACAAAGAACATGAAATTTGGAGAACCTCTTTGATGCAGTCAACGGTCAATCGGCATCACGTGTAGACATTACATAAAGATTATAACATTTGGAGAACATCTTTAATGCATAGTCAGCGATCAACCGGCTTTACGAACATTTTCAAGTGGACTCAAAATACTTCTTTTTTATACATTGTCATGAGTACAACATTTTGAGAATTACTCCACAAGTATTATACCTACAAGAAGATTTATATAATCTAAATATATCACAATATTGAACAGAATCACTTGATTAAAATTGAACATCATGTGGCCAAAAGATGTTGGTATTAAAGCAATAGAAGTATATTTTCCTGCTCAGTATATTGAGCAAGCAGAACTAGAACAATTTGATGGTGTGTCTTCTGGAAAGTACACTATTGGTTTAGGTCAATCTAGGATGGGCTTTTGCAATGACCGTGAAGATATTAATTCTTTGTGCTTAACAGTTGTGCATAGATTAATGGATAGATATAATATAAAACCACAAGATGTTGGAAGATTAGAAGTTGGAACAGAGACCATAATAGACAAGAGCAAATCAGTGAAGTCTGTCCTCATGCAGTTGTTTGAACCACATGGTTGTACAGACATAGAAGGAGCAGATACAACTAATGCTTGCTATGGAGGCACTGCTGCCCTTTTAAATGCTGTGTCTTGGGTAGAAAGCAGTGCTTGGGATGGTAGATTGGCTTTAGTTGTTGCTGGTGATAATGCTGTATATTCTACTGGAAGTGCTAGACCAACTGGCGGTGCTGGAGCCATAGCAATGGTGGTTGGACCAGATGCACCTCTGATAATCGATCGTGGAATAAGGTCATCATGTATGAAACATGCGTATGACTTTTACAAACCAAACCTAACATCTGAATATCCTGTTGTAGATGGACAATTATCAATTAAATGTTATATAAGTGCATTGGATAATTGTTATCAGACTTATTGTAAAAAGGTAAAAAACAAGCATAATGACAGTGTGACTTTAGATAATTTTGATTCATTCTTGTTTCATTCTCCATACTGTAAATTAGTACAAAAATCATTTGCTAGATTAGCATTTATTGACTTTCTGAACACACCTAAAGAAAAGATATCTAAGCAATATCCAGAGTTAGCAAAGTTTCATGATGTTAAGCTTGAAGAGACTTATTTTGATAAAGATATTGAAAAAGCATTTATAAATTTGAGTAAAACAGACTTTTTCCAAAAGACCCAACCATCTTTACTTATAGCAAATCAAGTAGGAAATATGTATACTCCCTCTGTATATTCTGGATTAGCTTCTTTACTAATTAGCAAACCTATGACAGAATTAGCAGGTGCTAAAGTGGGAATATTTTCATATGGCTCAGGATTTTGTTCTACCATGTATTCATTAACAATAACAGAAAACTCAAAAGAGGGATCTGATTTAATGAAAATTATCTCATCAGTTTCTTATATTAAACAAGAACTGGATGCCCGTCAGAAGATTTCTCCTGCAGATTATACAAAGATATTAGAGTGGCGTGAACAGAATTGTCACACTGTACCATTTAGTCCACAAAGTAGCATTAATGACATGTTCCCTGGAACTTACTATCTTGCACAAGTGGATGAAAAATATAGAAGAATTTACAAAAGGGTATGAAATTTGTGATAGCCCTTAATTCTTAGCTTATTAATTGGTTTGCTTAATATGGTAACAAAATAAATAATTGGGGACAGCATTAGTTATTAAATAAAATTCCAGAATGGTGAATAATTATTTATATAATTGAAATAAATTAATTAATAACTAAAATAAAACTATATTACTTAATAAATATGTTCTTAATGTCAGGAAATTGCATGCACTAAGAATAATTTGTATACTTTTGATTCTTAAATTTGTTTATAAAAATGAGAATGTTATTAAAACATATGATAGATACATGTAAAAAGTTTATGAATTGTATTTACAAAAAGTATATCTTTTATGTTTGTTTATCATGTATATTTTTTAATATATCTATTGTGTATGGATTGCACTTTTTAGTAAAAAGAAGTCAAAATCATTGTTCTTCGTTATAATGGAAGTAATACAGAAATAAAGTATATGTAATATTAATTCATATAAAAGAACCCTCGAAAAGATACTGTTTTCTTGCTACGCTTGTTTTTGGATACTAATCTGTTGATCATCTAAATATTAGTAGAAAAAGTAAAGAATAGGAAGTTTTTAAATGCATATTAAAAGAGTGCCTTTAAAATGAAATATTCTGCAATCAAAGTTTCTACTGAATTAGGGGAAATATTTATATTAATAAGCTTATCTATTGCATATACATATAATATACCAAAAATGAAAGATTATGCATAACAAAGTAATTCAGTATTTTTGTTACTTATATACCACATATGTAAATTAACTTATATTTTTATTGTAACATTTTTTTCCATGTTTTGTTTAAAAAAACGAATAAAACAACTATAAAGTGTAAATTGTAACTTGCAAACAAATGGTTCTTGTTTTGTAAGGTTTTACAAATGTTAATAAATAGTTACTGTTATTCAATATATTGTTCAATTATATTCTTTTAAGTATTAGTTTCGTTTCTTTTAATTTTATGATAAATTTATGCAAGGTACGATCTCTTTCACATTTTATTTCGATAATTTCAATATTACAACAATGTTAAAAAAATAGTACAATAGCGAATGATTAATTTGAAAAAATATATTAATATATTATTTCTGTTTTGAGATTCATTTCGTTACAAATAAATACGGGCATCCACTTTCAGTGCATTTATAAATATTCAAAGTACATCATTGTCATAGGATATATAAAGTCTATGTGTTCATATTTACAAATGTATAAGTTAAAATACTTGATCTTAACTGTCTACAAAAATTGACAGTGGTCATTTTTTCGATTGTTATAAATTCGTAGCAGAGTTCTTGTTCCATAATTAAACAATTGTACAAAATACTGGCGCAACACCACGATTATTATGCTTTTGTCATGATCAATAATATAACCCACATTTGTTCTAATATCACACTAATTAAATCATTATAAAAATATTGTACAATATTTTTCCATTTTATGTACAAATTTGAACTTGGGAAGGTTATGCACATCATTTGTTAAGAATCTCTATTTAAAATATTTTATATGAGCATGCTGAGCAGGAAGACAATTTTCGACCTGCACCAAGTCTAACAACTTCATCTCCACTAGTATTTATTTGGCGATTTTCATGTCTTCTCTAAAAATAAGTAAAAAAAATGTATGTTTTATATACTATAAAATATAACTGAAATATTTGTATTTCTATATTTTATACATTACTTTGTATAAAAATTGTATGCTTACTTTAAGCTCAGATGCCAGGTAAAAAAACACAGAATCTATATTGGTATTTTCTTTGGCTGATGTTTCCACTACTTGTAGCACTTCAGGAAGGTATGGACAAAGGGCTTCTGCCTCTCCTTTTTCAACTTCCCGTAAATGTTCTAAATCACATTTATTACCTAAAAATGTTATACTTCGTACTTCTTCAACCCAGTGTTGTAAACTTAAGAATGTAGACCTTTTTGTAATATCATAAACTGAAATTCACTTGAGTTATTATAAAAGACATATATTTAAATAAGAAGAAAAGAAAGTAATATTTTTTACATACCTACAATAACACCATTAGCGGATCTATAATAGCTTTGAGTTATTGTGCGAAATCTTTCTTGACCAGCTGTATCCCATATTTGCAACTACAATCATAAAGACCTTAAATGAACATATACTTAGTGTAATATTAAAAATTATGTATTTTCAATTTATAATAACACTATTATTATAATTATTATGTTGCGTTAAAGAATGGAACATTATTATTCCTGCAAAATAATTCGAATAATTCGAAAAATGTATCGTTAGGAATATGTTAAACTTGTAGATCGTTTTATTATGTCTTTCGCAACATATCATGTCATAAGGTGAAAACCTATTTTTAACGAACAATGCCTGTTTAATATTACGTTAATTCTAATAAAAAATGATATTTTTTCAAATAATTGCATCGTGAAAGAACGTTAAATCTTTCAAAGATTTATATGTAGATAACGTGTAGGTTAAATTTCAAAAAAATTGAAAAACTTTAGTACTTTATCGATCATAGATCAAATAAACATACCTTAACTTTCTTATTATCGATTAGTACGGTTTTCATGGAAAAGTCTACACCGATTGTGTTTCCATGCCTCTCGATAAATGTACCAGATCGAAATCTTTGAACGACACATGTTTTTCCTGTGCCGCAATCGCCAATGAGAACGATCTTGAATAAGTAGTCGAAATTTTCATCGTTTGTAGCCATCAAATTGTCCGGATCGCGGTTCGACATTTCTTTGCGATCGTCGAAATAATTTATTAAATCGACGACACTCTTTGTAACCCGCACTGGTTACCTACGCCATTGTTTCACTGAACTCCATTACTTTGAGCATATTCTTACTTAGTACAGTTGGCACGTATAAAGAATTCATTGAAACCGGATTTCAACATTACTCTTCTTTTTTTAGTTCAACTTGCCTTACTTTTATCTTACAGCATTGAAGATACTTATACTTATGGAAGTTACAAATTTTATTATCTAAACAAATCATTTTAATTTTAGTACAATGTAAAAGTTTACTAGTTGTATTAGCTCACAATATTTCTTTTATTTAAAAGAAAATACAACAATATTATTGATTACATAACAGGGATGCATCATAGTATTTTTATTTTTCTTGAAACTGTTTAATAAAAGTGATGAATTGGACTATTACATGTATTTATTATAAACATATTTTTACATAAACGTATTCTATGCCTAAACAATTATAAATACAATAGAAAGTAAAATTAGAAAATAATTATTGTTTAGATGTGAATTTTGAAAGGCCTTCTAACAAACTAACATATGCTGTATGTTCATAACTTGTACTGAGTTCAACCAACTTTTCTGCAAACTCATTTGAAACACCTTTTTCTTCTAGGTAATTCATCAGCAAATCATACAGATACTGAAAAATAAATGTAATATAAATTTATGTATATGTATATGAAGAGAGATACATTAAATTACATAAATTTGTAGAGAATAGGTGTTACATTCTCTTACTTCAGAGATTTTATGAATAATAAAATCATTTCATAGGAGAATGTTTTACTCTTCCAAAGATCAATAATCAAAATGGCTACTAAATGTACCAATCTGTACTCAACACTTTGGTTAATACATAATTCATAACATTTTTATTTATACATACATATCAAATAATTTCAAAATGTACCACTTACCCCATCAATAATTTCACCAGCAACAGCATATACTTTATCAGAATTCTCTCCTGTATACAAAGTAATTTCATCGATGCCAAAGATATCATCTAAAATTAAATAACATTTGCATGGAAGATATTTTCATTTAATGCAATAATACGTATTATAAGTTAGAAATGAGTTTCATTTACCAAAGCTTTCGTTAGCACCTGATGCACCAGGTTCGCTATTAAATGAACAGGTGAATCCAAGAGTTTGGTTTCCCCTCAAAACATCTACTGTGAAGGATGGTTTACTTTTCATGTCACCAATGTCTGGATTGTCATTGGTCATTTCCACTTCAGGTTGAGCATCAGCATCAACTGTATGGTTTATGTTGAATGAAATTTTAATCCTATAAAGAAGAATTATTGTTCAAGCAAAACATATACTTTCTGTTATTGTTAGCTTTGTATGAAGAATTTTTTTTTACGTTTCATTGTCCTGTTTTTTCTCTAAAGTAACATCTGCACCGTCAAGAGATACTTTAAAACCATCTAATTCAGTAGGAATAGTTTTCAATTTTTGTGCTTTCTTTTCTGCTATGATTTCTTCTGCTAGAAATTCTACAAGCTCCTTCTCAGCTAACAAACAAATTAAAATAATTACTCAACAAACAAGTACTTTCATTACTTTAAGAAATGTTGAAGTGATGAAACTTTCATTATACATTGCAAAGTAAAAAAAAGATTAAAACTATATATAATTCTTATTATATTGTAATGTGTATATAAATACTTATAAACGCAACTATTAAATTTGATGAGACATGGTTTATCGCATACATCTAAGTTGCAATAAATCGATCGTATTCAAACGTGTGATTCGATAAAATTATAAAACTATTTACGATATAATAAATATACCTTTGGTGTGACCACTCCGGCAACAACCGCAATTACAAAGAATATTTTGGTGCTTAAACGTTTTTACTGAAACGATAGGTGCAATTTGGGCTTGTTGAAAACCAACGTTCCATAGTGTTCTTAATTGATTATTTGCGGTTCCAGTGCTCGAAGTAGACGAAAAAAGATTCCTGATTACGGACGAACGTAACGTGCTTCTTACAATTCCATTCATTTTACTGCTTTCAGTTACTATACCTCTTATTAATCGAACCGGTATTCTCACAAAATGGATCCCTTGGAACGCGAACACGAGGTAAGACAGTTATGGCATGAACCAACAAAATGGTCAATATGCCATGCCTTTGCTATTTTTGAAATTAACGTTTTGTCTGGTAATTTCTAGTAATTTTTTGTTTGAGACGGATTAAAGTCAATATACAGGGTGTCCCGTAACTCCTCGAACACCCGGAAATGGGTGGTTGCTGGGGTGACTCTGAACAACTTTTTCCTTTACCAAAATATTGTTTGAAGCTTCATTTTTGAATTATTAACGAAAAACACTGGCCAATCAGAGCGCGCGTAGAGCCCGCGCTCAGGGCAGCGACAGAGATCACCCGCACGCTATCGTGAACGACGCGTACGCGTGACTTCTCGGTTATCGATCGCTGTAAAAAAAATTTGACTTTGCACCGCTATTTTTATAAGGCTTAATTTTTGAAAAAACTGCAATTAGTCGGAATCGCGAAGAAAATAGCGAAGGTCGTTTTTACAACTTTTTTATCTGAGCTCGTAATGAAAATCTAAAAAATACGAATGAGCCTCTGTTCTTCGTCCCTGAGCGCGGGCTCTACGCGTGCTCTGATTGGCCAGTGTTTTTCCTTAATAATTCAAAAAAGAAGCTTCAACAAACAATTTGGTAAAGGAAAAAGTTGTTCAGAGTCACCCCAGTAACCTCCCATTTCCGGGTATTCGAGGAGTTACGGGACACCCTGTATCGAAATTCTACATTGATTGGTGAAAAGTACACTCATGTCTTTTGTCATCTTGGTTTTACATAGTCTTGGTTTAAAATTGTCCTTGAAAGCGGTAAATGGCGTTCTAACGTCTACAAACGTAAATAGCTTCTGAAGGGAGGAATTGTATACATTTTTTTGACATTTTAGAAGTTGTTTGTTATTGTTATACAAAATGTATTCACTTACTGAAGGAGCATTGGATGTAAGTTTCAATGTAGTATTTGTATTCTACAATTTTCATTTAATTGTAGTTTTAATATTACTTAAATTTTAGAAAATCATGAATGGTGTGGACGTCGATAAACCGGTACTGCAAATATTGGTAAGCAACTTGTATATTTTTCTTAATCGGTTGTAATACGAAATGCATTACGATAAAACATGTTAATAAGATAAAAAATACATTTAATATTATGAATTGCCAGTGTTGAACTTGTTGATTTTTTTTTATAGGGTCATAAAAAATTGGCTAGTTCAAGTAGTGGAGAACGTTATAGACTGCTAGTGTCTGATGGGAAAAGAGTAAACTCATTCACAATGTTAGCTACACAGTTAAATTCAATGATAACAGAAAATGTGTTAACTGAATTTTCTATTTGTCAAATAAATAGATATGCTATAAGTATGGTAAATAATGCTGGAAAACAAAAGTATGCAATGAGCATTTAATAGTTTGTACTTGATACAATTTTAAAGTAAAATAGTATATTATTAAGTTTTATTTATTGTAGACGAGTCATGGTGATATTAAATATTGATTTGAAAGTTCCTGGTGATGAAGTTGGACATAAAATTGGAAATCCAACAAATGCTGAAGCTGATTGTGACTCTAAACTTGCACAACCTCCTCCTCAACAGCAACAACAGCAAAGTAATATGAGCTGGCATTGAATTATTATAAAACATATTAATTATGAATTGTAATAATATATTCTTTTCTAGATACCTTTATGCTTCAGAAAAATGTACCACAACCTTCTACTGATAATATATCAACAACTCCAATTGTAGCATTGAGTCCTTATCAAAATAGGTAAATGTATTCTATATTTACTTTAATATTATAATTGTAAAATATTCTGAATATCAATATCTGCAGGTGGGTAATAAAAGCAAGAGTTGTCAGTAAATCTAACATTAGAACATGGAGCAATTCACGTGGTGAAGGAAAATTGTTCTCTATGGATCTTGTAGATGAAAGTGGAGAAATCAGGTGTACAGCATTCAAAGATCAGTGTGATAAATTCTATGATATGCTTGAGGTATTTATGATGAGTATCTATTGTTCAAATCATAATATTACATTTTAATTACATTCATTATAGGTTGGAAAAGTTTATTATATTTCCAGAGCTAGCTTAAAAACAGCAAATAAACAATTTAATAACTTGAAAAATGATTATGAAATGACTCTGATTGGTGACTCTGAAATCATTCCATGTCATGACTCGGGAAATGACATTCCAAGCCTGCAGTTCAACTTTGTACCAATCAATGATATTGAAAAAAAGGAAAAAAATGATTTAATGGGTACCTAAATATTAATTTAAAATACATAGACTTATACAATATATTTGATGCATTAATTGAAATATTGATTTATCATAGATATCTTGGGTATTGTGAAATCTTACGGTGATTTACAAATGTTAACGTCACGAACCACGGGTAGAGAACTTAAAAAAAGGGATATTAATATTGTGGATGAAAGTAATACTATGGTAAATATTTTACTTACTCAAACCAACAAATTAAAGAATTTTTAATTTAATGTTTCCATAGTTATATTTGACTGAGTTTCTAGGTATGTCTCACATTATGGGGATCACAAGCTGAAGAATTTGATGGAAATAATAATCCAGTTTTAGCTATCAAAGGAGCACGCATTGGTGAATTTAATGGAGGAAAGAACCTATCTACTATTAGCGCAACAGTCCTTCAAATCGATCCAGATATTCCAGCAGCACATAGGTAGTAATATTTATTTTGAACCCATGTAAAATATTAGTATTTCAACGATTTTTTTTTAAAGCAATGTCTTATTTTAATATAGATTACGTGGTTGGTTTAATACAATTGGTCGTAACGAAGAAGCAAAATCACTCTCAAAAGCACTTGGAGGTGGAGGTGGAAGTGGACCATGGATTACATTTGGGGAAGCGAGAGAAATGGAATTGGGTTTCAAAGGAATTGACATATATACAGTAAAGGCAACTGTTAATATGATTCGTATCGAAAATGCTCTGTACAAAGCTTGCCCTACTGAAACTTGTAAAAAGAAGGTAATGGTTATCTTGCATTTTATGCATTTAAAAAGGACTGCTTAATTTTAAAAAAAATTGTTCCTTGCAGTTGATTGATCAAGCAAATGATATGTACAGATGCGAAAAGTGTGATAAAGAATTCCCTAACTATAAATATCGTTTACTTGCGAGTGTAAGTCAAAGAAATTTTTAGTATATGTTCAAATAGTCATTTAAGTTTAATGATATTTAATAACTTCGTAGTTAAGCTTAGCGGATTGGACAGATAACCAATGGGCTACAGCATTCAGTGAAGAAGCAGAAAAAATATTGGGTATTTCAAGCCAAGAACTTGGAGAATTACAAGAAAATGATAATGATGCCTACCTCGAAAAATTTGGTGACGCAACATTTAAAAGCTTTCTATTTAAACTACGAGTTAAATTGGAAGTGTTTAATGTACGTTGTATTATCCCGATAAGAATGAAACTCCGAAATCTCCTACAATTATTAACATACCAATATAAATAATTTTTATTTACAGGATGAGAACAGATTAAAAGCAACATGTGTCAGTGTATCCCCTATAGATTATAAAATATACAATAACCATTTAATAACTCAAATCAAGGAATTAGCTGGAATTGTTAAAGCTTGAAGTTGTCTTATGATACATAGTATTTGTGCAGGTTATAAATTTTTTCGAATGTTTTCGTTCTCAGTTTCGTTCTCGCATATATAATTTAAGTGTTTTCTTATATTGTATACCATTGTATATATGATAAAAAAAGTCTTTCCTTTCTAAATAAATAATACATTTTGATACATACTACTTAATTCTTCATTTTGATATCCTTATAAGAAACTTCTATCCTCAAATTTTCAACATTACATCAACATTACCATCGAACAATAATAATTCTTTTAAATTTAAAATTAAATTTCATTCAAATTATTAGGCTTCAATAATTCTCATGTTTAGAATATATGGAACTGCGATCGAATAATCTTACGAGTAATCTTACAAGGTAATACAATCTACTGAAAGTTTCACGGTGCCTACGTATTCAGAATGAATCATTGGAATCACTATCTCGTAGTAACCTGTTATTATTTAACGGGGTCACCAAAACCATGAATATATGAAATTACATTTGCTATAGGGTTGAGCATGGCTGAAAGCTGAAAGTAATTCAGTTGAAAACATCATGCTTGATTAAAGATTCATGTAAACGTAATCACATTCGTTTAACGTTACATATCATCGTCGTAAAAACAAGCCGTTACATGTAAATCTTTACTGATGTCCTGAGTACTTATAACAATGACATCATTAATGCTCTAAATCTTTCTGCAGTAACGTAAGAAATTAATATGCATGTGTGTGATATACATATGTACATAGTCAACCATTTCTACAAAATCTGTATTTTAAAACATTTTACGATTTGCAAAATTACATATTTTAATGACTTAATCGTTGAGGAATGATAAATTTCTTAATGCCACTTATGTCGTCAATAAATAAGTTACTTCAAATGATCTACATCTGTTAATATAACGGATCAGCGAAGAAATTGGATTATATGAATCATACTACGTGAACCATTTATCAGTTACATTGAATTGTCCGCATAACGCATAGTTATAAATATCATGATTACCTTAAGTATTGCAATATTATTTAAAATATTTCAAAATTGTGTATAAATTAAAACTTAAACATATAGAAATCCGATATTATTTAATACATCTTTTTTATATACTTTCAACAAAGTATGTGTTTTCAGATATTTAAAAAAAGTTCTCAATGCATCTAAAATTATGAAAGAATAGTATTTAACCTTTTTTGTATCTAAACATGAATGTGCATCAATAATTCATGACTCACTTCATTCGTTTGATTATCGCTTGTAAATTGCAGACGTTAAAACTTTGCGTCTGCAGAATGTGTATCGCGCATGCGCGAATGGACTACCTTCGTAAAGCGTCAAAACGGCGCGCTTCGACGCAGTACGAATTCAACTTTCATAGTGAGAGTGTTGATTCCTTTAGGTTCCAAGGATTTTATTTGTCGTCGCTTAAAAAAACACCATGGCTATTTGTAAGTAAAGTTTTGTATTGATAATTTTAAAAAATTCATTATTCGTTTACCGTCAAATTTTGTTACATAAGTAATTAACAATGATAGATGAGTTACCAACATTTTAAAGTGAAAAGTAGTAAAATTATTTTTATTAATTATTAAC